ACAAAACTGTTAAAATCTAATATATATATATAAGCGTTAATGTAAATAAATGTAAATTATATATATATATAATATATAGGGGAGACCGGGGCAAGTTCGGCATGTTAAGCATTACTTATACTAAATACAGAACCTGTTACCGGTGTAGTTTTGCGTGAAAAAATCTTCCTTTCACAAATGTTTTCGAGCTGTCCAGATAGCTCTTCCTCAGGTATAGAAAAAATTCTGACGGAACACTTTGAAAAATGGAACGTAGATATTTAAATAAAAAACGAATCTAAAAATAGAACGCAGATGTTTAAACAAAAAATATGAAACTCGCATAACGAACGATCATTAAGACGGTCGTGCGCATTCGTGAGCTGATGTTGATATTTATAGATCGTTGTTTATGAGGGCCTGCCATGCTATAGAAAGATTAATCTCATCCTTTTGATTTATACATGTGGTCAGGTGATTAGCCTTGCAGATGGATAGAGCTTCCCGCCATTTTAGATGTTCCAGGTGGGGCATAGTGTCGATGATGTAAGCTTTGTCGAACTCTGGTTCTATATCGGGATCGGATGCAAAGGTGGTTAGGGCCGTTGTGTACCGCCCATGCCGAAGGTCTGCTTGATGCTCTTGTACTCTGGTGTTTAAAGATCGCTTGGTTGAGCCGATGTAGACAAGGCTTTCATTACATCTGTTATCTTTCAGCGGGATAGAGTACACGCCAGGAAGCCTGCTATGAACCGGACTGCCTTTTCCATTTCTGAGGATGTTGTAGATTGTTGGGCATCTTCTATAGGCTATTTGTAATTGTTGTTTTCNAGGTGGTTAGGGCCGTTGTGTACCGCCCATGCCGAAGGTCTGCTTGATGCTCTTGTACTCTGGTGTTTAAAGATCGCTTGGTTGAGCCGATGTAGACAAGGCTTTCATTACATCTGTTATCTTTCAGCGGAATAGAGTACACACCAGGAAGCCTGCTACAAACTGGACTGCCTTTTCCATTTCTGAGGATGTTGTAGATTGTTGGGCATCTTCTATAGGCTATTTGTAATTGTTGTTTTCTGGCGATCTCAGCGTATATCGCTTTAACATATGGGTTAAAGGTGACTGGGAGGCGTTTACGTTCATCCTGGTCAGTATTGGTCTTCGTACACGTAGTGGGTGCGTATTGTGACCGTTGATGTCGCTCAATTAGATGGTGTGTTAGACCATGGTAATCGTGCTTGGCTGCTATTCTCTTGATATAATTCAATTCGGTGTTGAGGGCTTGCGTGGTGGACGAGTGGGAAAAGGCCCTTTTAATCAAAGTATTAAATGCTACAGCCTTGTAGGTGAATGGGTCGGATGAACCTACCGGTATGTATATAGAGGCGGCATAAGGTTTACGGTATACCGACGTGACGATGGCGGATCCTTCTACTTTAATGTTTATATCCAAAAAGTGGACCTCAGTGTTGCAAGATTGTTCCATTTCCAGTGTTAGGCTGTAGGGATTATTGTTTACGGTTTGTACGAAATTTGAGATGTCAGGTATTGTCTTCCACATGATGAGGATGTCGTCCACATACCTCCTACAGAGTAAGATGTTCGGGAGGAACAGTGGAAGTATTTTTCGTTCAAGTTGCCTAATGACCATTTCGCATAGGTCCCTGGATACTGGGCTACCCACGGGGTCTCCTCTTTTTTGTTTGTAGACTTCTCCATCAAACGTAAAGATAGAATTATAACAGATCAGATGGGCTAATTCAATGACTTGCTGGTGTAATGCTTGTTCTTGAGTCAAATTAAGCAGAAAGTCCCTAAGGGAGCAAAAAGCTGGAGGGAGCTCCACCGATGGGTTCATAGATTTAAAGTCTAGCACGGTAATATACTGCGGCGTCAAAGACAAAACCCAAAGGAGGTGAATCAGCTCAACTGGGTTATCGATGGTATATGGGTAGCCCTTGAGGTGGGGAGAAAGTAGGTTGTGAATGGCTTTCTCCAATTTTCTTGTGGGAGCTCTGATTTTATCGACTATTGGACGTAATTGTTAGCCCATTTTGTGCGTTTTGGCAAATGCAAAAAGTCTTGGTGTATCCGGGGAATCGACTATTATGTTGCCCAATGCAAGGCGTTTTGCCAATTTGGAGTTTGCAAATCTCTTAACTTTATTTTGTATTTTGTCCACCACGTTCTCATTCTCCTTTTCACATTGGGTGATATTGATGTATTCCTTTAAGCCTTGGCGGTAGGTGCTGCGTCTCATGAGGACTAATGTTTTAGATTTATCCGCCCTGGTGAGAATGATCCCGTTACACATGCCACCACATGTCAGCTACTTTATTTTCAACTGCCAATATTTTCTGATCAATTTTTTCAGATATAGTGGAGATAATTTTACTGGTTTTCTCTACAGAAAAATATACAGGGTGAAGCAAAAGTAGGTGGAGAGTAAATGGTAACATTTATCGAGATTACATATACATATAAATTTTGAGATTACATATACAATTATTTTTACTAATACAGTGATACCCCGAACTTACGCGATAGGTGGGACAGAGCAATAACCGCATAAGTTGAATTCGCGTAAGTCGAGGTATAATTTTGCAATTTGTGTAAAATCCAAGTCGGATGTATGTAAGCTAATAAATGTTCTTGTTAATCTTATCTCATCTTTTGATTCATTTGCGGTTACAAGAAATCACCACATAGAGTCTCTCAAGTCTCCGTAGATATAACAAACACAGAAATAAATAACACAGAATAAATTGTAGCTATGTGTCGATTCCGCACGACACGTCCGAACATGTAAGCTGAACAATAGTGTGGGGGGAGTGAGTAATCAAGAGCTGCGTGATGCTCAAACAAAATATGAATCGACGCGATTTGAAAATCGCATAACTCCGGGTTCGCGTAAGTTGAGGTATTACTGTACAATACAATACAATACAATTTTATCAATGCAGGTATTCAAACTGCTGTCCATCACAATTTACAGTTTTGAAGTTTACATTTCATCATTTTATGCCTCAACAAACATTTTTGCACTTATATCTTTGAGTATTAATTTCTTGAAATGCATCTCTGATGTAATTTTTCAACCATAAACTAAACAAAGTTAAATATACACCATTGTTATAGTATAACCCTAACACAAACTCTATTCCATCTACTGTCCACCTACTTTTGGTTCACCCTGTATATTGAACTTATGTAGGCTCTCTTGTATAGAATAATTTGTTTTGTTACATCAGGCTTGACCAATAAGTCATGCATTACTTTTGGTCAGATACAAAGAATATGGCCTTACTAAAACATGAAAAACATTTGTAATTTTAATAATAATTTCATGTTTTTCACAGAGAATCTTTTTAACTATCTTTATGGATTGGTAACTCTATGCTCTCTGAGATAACTTGATATTGCAGCTCAGTGAAAAGGACATTGAGGATACTAAATGAGAAATACTTTTACTTTTATTTTTAGCAGATAGGGGATGAAACCAGGGCTACTCGGAGGTATTGCCTGGGGTGAAAATGGAGAAGAAAGATGATTTAGAGGAAAAGGCTGAAGGTGAAATTATAAAGAAGGATATGAAAGGAGATACTAAATGAAATGAGCAAAAATTATTTGACATGTCACTATGCCCTCATGCAATTTTTAATCATGTTTTTAATTAATTTAAAATATATGCTCTTAGTCTCAAATTAGTAGTGTCTTGTTCTTGTAAATCATACTTTTTCTGATAACACTTGTGCTAGTCATCTATGTAACTCTGTTTTGGGGAAAATTTTTGAATTGAAATCATGTGACTTCTGGTCTAGACTAGAAGTTTGAATATAATTAATTGTGGTCTCCTGCCTCTAAGCCTTCATTATCTGGTATTGACTTTCATCTATATAATGCCAGAAGGAAGTTTGAGGAAGGAAAAATGGACAGACAGACAATATTGGAAAATTATAGTTCTACAATTTTTTCAAATTGTAGCCCAACATGCTGTTGTTTTTATTGTGTTTGTATCTAGGTTCTGTTGTTATTGTAGAAATTGCTTTGTTGTTCACTAAACAATTTCAGTTATGTATAAAATGATTTTGTTGAAAAGGAACAAAACTTATGATTTGCATGATGAAGAAAATAAAATTCTTTGTTATGGTGAAAAATAAATGCTGCTATTAAAAAAAAAACTTTTTAAATAATTTACATTGGACGGCGAACATGTAGCCTCAAATAAAAGGTAGGTATCGCCGTAAATTTGTTATTGCCTCTGCAAAGCATGTGAAGGGACAAATGAAGATGGACTCAATTATATGTATAGTCCAAAAGGAAATATATTTTTCTAAATAAATGCTGCTGTTTATTTTATGTCTTAATGTCTTTACCAAATAGAGGAAATTTTAAATTACCATACAATAGACAAATATAACACTGCTTTGCAGCATAATTTAGAGTGGGTTAATAAACTTTTATAAAAGAATGAGTATATGGTGGTAGGTCATCAGAACTTTTGACTCCATGAAAGTAGATAAAACTTTTGTATAAATTGGCCAGGTCTATGTTACATTTACTGTATATAATAGAATGGAGGCTTTTTCATCTTAATATTTTTATGAATTATTTTTTATAGACATAAATTGTGATTCTATAACTTAAATAAGTGTCTAAATAAAAATTTTATAAAATAAAAAGTAAAAATGTTCAAATAATTATCTTTCACTTTAGTTTTATTTTACAGTTAAATACATATTTTTTACTTACAATAGTTAATAGGCCTCATAACCTTTGCATCTATTTTTATTGATAGAAAAATTCAAGATTCAATTAGATTTACTGTTTATTTTTTATTTATTTTTTACATATTGAATGATTATTTTGAGAATAACATTGAAAAATAAATATCAGGTCAGTCCATAAGTTCATGGGTATTTTATGACCTTGAGAAAAATTGTGTTTTGCTGTTAAAATTAGAGAGGTTGAGGCGCACGTTTTAAACGCGTAAACGTGTGCGTGTGACGTTTGGCGCCGCTTTCCCGTAAGCCTAAAAGTTTGACGATGGTGTTTGGAATGTCGAGCGTGATTCCACCGACTATCCAAACACCATTGTCAAACTTTTAGGCTTACGGGAAAGCGGCGCCGAACGTCA